GGCAATGGATGGCAAAGCTCCTCATTTATGTTCTTCTGGTTAATTTTTCTTGCAGCCAAGACGACAAGCAGGCATGGTTGGAAAGTTGGCTTTCAGCTTGTGTTCTGCCAGGGGCCATGCTTGAAGCTCATGGTGCATTTCAATTGTCTAGCCAAGCAGACCACATTCACCGCTGTAGTTCTCAACAGCTCATTGGTCCAACAGCTGATATGTATTTTGTACTTTTTTTTCAATAAGCATCCTGAGTTAGAGCAACAACCCTCCCATGGATGCTCCTCAACTGCTACTCTGTGAGGGTCTACAGGGTATTGCAACATGCATGGAAGACCAACCATGATGCCATGCAGCACCAGAAAAGAATGGCATCTTATCATCATCACACGTTGTAGTCACCAGAGTCACCGCTCAGCTCCTTCCACAACGCAGTTCAAGGACACTGCTTGTCACCCTTGCACAGTAGGAAGCACTTTGTCCCATCCAGGGGAGATAAACTGGGGTTAAACACTTTGAACACAAACCTCAATACTGAGGAAACAACTCTGCTTGATTGTACGTAGCAAAGGACCTTTCAGTGGAAGTTTTCATATTAGTGTCCAAGATAAATTTGTTACAAATCACTGAAAATATTTTGTGTTGGATCTCCTGTTTTACTTACTGTTAAACAAACTTGGAGGTTGGAGGAGGCAGAGAAATCAGGAGTAAAGTCGAGCCCATGAAGAAGGGAGGGGTAGGGGGAAGGTGTTTTTAAATGTGTTTTTATTTCTCATTACCCTACTCCAATTTGATCGAGAATAAATTAATTTTTACCCAAGTTGATTCTGTTTTGCCCATGATGGTAAGTGGTGAATGATCTCTCCTTGTCCGTATCTCAGCCCACAAGCCTTTCCTTATCTTTTTTTCTCCCCTGTCCAGCTGAGGAGGGGGGTTAATAGAGCAGCTTTGGTGGGGACCTGGCCTCCAGCCATCGTCAACCCACCACACCAGTGCAGAAAGGCACAAAACACTTTTTGGTTAAGTCACCAGCCTCGATGGGCTCCTCCCTGAAACGGTGGAGCCGTGCAGTACCCGGCAGGGGAGGCGCTGTCCTCACATCAGCCCCAGCAGCTCGTGCAGCAGCGGCACGAGCACGGTGGCGCTGAGGCCCACCGCGGCGTACGTTACGAATTTATAGGGCACCTCCACCTCCCACCGCCGCCGCGCTGCCAGGTCACCCAGGGGAAACTTGTACCTGTAACCCAGCAGGCCAAGGACCACGCTCTTCATCAGCTGGCGTGTCACTAGGAGAACAAGGATCCCTACGAAGAACCTGGCTAGCATGACCACCACGATTTTACTGGTGATCAGAGGAAGTCCAAGCTGGAAGCTTTCCTTGGAGTAGGCCGGAGCGGCATACTGGTTGTCCAACCAAAATCCCACCGTCGCTCCAGCTCCCGCTCCTAAGATCATAGTGGTGTCCCCCCTGGTGGGGCTGTAGTAGTCCAGTTTGGGGTAGTTGTAACATAAGGCAAAAGGCACGACGATGGAGAGCAGTGGGCAGAAGGGGCTGGTGAGCAGCAGGTGATCGATGGTGTCCCAGGCCGGGTACAGGACCGCGAGCAGCACGGCCGAAATCAGCGCTCCGCCGATCACGTCCTGCAATGACAGCACGTTTGAAAGCTTTGTGAGCCTGGCAGGTGAAGCAGATGTTCCCAGGGGACAGCAGGAGAACAGCAGCTTGGTTTATAGGCGTGCAGCAGCAGAGGAGCACCCTGCAGTGACAGCGGTGGCTCTGTCCCTGCCCAGAGACAACGGGGGCCTGCGCTAAGCACAGTGAGCCCTGAACCCATCCTCAGCCTGGCACAACCACAGAACTGCTCTGGTTAGGAGAGACCTTTAAACCATCAAATCCAGGTCACCACTAAACCACGTCCCTCCGCACCACATCTTCACGGCTTGGAAACCCCTCCAGGGATGGGGACTCCACCCCTGCCCTGTGCAGCCTGGGACAAGCCTGGAGAACTATTCCCATGAAGAGATTTTTCCTAATGTCCAGCCTAAACCTCCACCGGCACAACTTGAGCCTGTTTCCTCTTGTCCTATTGTTTGTTCCTTGGGAGAAGAGCCTGACCCCCACCTGGCTCCAGCCTCCTCTCAGGGAGTTGTGGAGAGTGAGAAGATCTCCCCTGAGCCTCCTTTCCTCCAGGCTCAACACCCCCATTGTCCATGTGAAACCACCAATGCCTTGTCCATGCAGAATTATCCATTGACCCATACTTTTCCCCTCAACAAAGGAGATTCTTCCTCTCTCTTGCTTTCATGTTTTAAGGGCACTCTCCACCCACCAGCTCAAAGGCAAAGCCCTATCTCGGGGACAACACCACAGCAAGCTGCCTTCACACAAACCCTTTCCTTCCCGTAATCCTACGAGCCATTTCAGAAGGACTGTTGCTTGCTTGCTTTGCATAAACAAGCAGATGTTTTCTTCTCTCAGGGACAAGCAGCCAGCCCAGGAACGTGGGCTCTGGGGGAGAAAAGCTCAGAGCTGTGGGGCACTGTGCCTCTGCCACGCAGGCACCGCCAGGCAGGAACAGAAGAAATCTGTTGCCCAGGCCTCTGAAATGCAGCTCGCAGGAAAGCGCCCGAGGCGAGCGCGCGGTTAAAGCCTAATTTATTAACAGAGGCAAATGAGGTGTTTGGAGAACTTGATTGTTGTCAACCACAAGGCTGGGAAAGGAGATGAGAGGCAACCCCTGAGAAAAGCCACCTGTACCAGAGCAGCCAAATCACAAAGCAATGGAACCAGTTCCCCTCTGCTGCTCCGCCAGCGTCGCTCGGGGGGCAGCAGAATTGGGCCATGGAACGCTCTGCAAAAGCTAAAGCAGGTGGCAAACAGCCTCTCCTCGAGAGTGGGCCTTTTACACAGAGTCATGACAGAGGACTACTACCATGGTCACAGTCTGAAATGAATTATTTATGAGAACTTCACTTATAGTTAGGCAGGACTGAGGGGACTCGTTCACCACAGGAATATTTAATGACTTTCTGGTAAATGCATTACTCCAGTATGGCCAAACTTCAGCTCTTTACAACCTCCAGGCAGTAGTTTCACAGCACATTTGGCTTCAAGCAACCCCTCAAACCATGTTGCATATTCCTAACACCAATTTCCACTTACATTTCCTCCCTCATCCATGACACGACACATGGAAATACACAAAGTTGTTCACAGATGTCTAATATGTAAAATATCATTAGGTATCAATATTTGACAAGAATCCATCTTCTGATAACTTGACACTAACCCAACACTAATAAAAAGCATCAAAGAGCTGCTCTCAGGGCTGGTGCTCAGAAATCTCCTGGCTACTGGGTACCTCCATTTCCCACCCCACTATTGCAAGACTTCAGGCTCTGGGAAGGAAATATATTTAGCACTGCTAATAAGTAAAATAATAATTAAAAAAAATAGATATAGTAAAAATAGTGCTGATCTCACCCTTATCTCACCCTTTTTTAATTTCTATTTTTGTGTATCTTTCATAATGTACGTATCAGTACATGTATATAATTCAGAAATACACATGTATTGGGGGTGCATGCTCAGAATTTTTTTTATTAATGAAAAAAATGTGGGGAGCAGGGGTTAATTTTGGGATTCCCTCTATCCACCGATAATTTGCCTTCTCATCATGGAGACTCCTTACTAGGAGAGAGCTTGGGACATCCCCAGCCGTGACCACCCATGGTGACTCCCTTTGGGTCTGGTGCCCACGGGCAGAGGTTCCACTCTGTGAACATCCAGAAGAGGTGGGTGAGTTCAAGACCAACACTTTACAAAGCCAATTAGCAGTGCAGAATTAACAGTTTTTCCCCTCTCATTGGTTAAACTAAGAAGAAGATTTTTTGCTCAAGGTGCAAAGCTTAAAACCTCCCATTTTCCTGCTGGGATGGTTCAGCTCTGTTAGCACAGCAAAGTCCTCCTTGGGCTCCATTGTTCCCCCAAAGCCCTCCCACCTGCCAGCACCCCCACAGCACCCTCCTGCCTCTCCTGCTCAGAGGAGCATCTGCCCAGCTCCTATTGATTTTAATTAGAGAGCTCTCGTTTTGCTTTGCCACCTAAAGAACAGACCAGTGTCAAGTTTCTAACACCACAAGTCCTTCAAATTACTTTTCCATGTTACAGGTACACAAATTAAAACTGACATCAGCATCCAGTGGGAGGTGGTGCCTGGGATTTAGGACTGGGATGCTTTAAGATGCTTCCTACTCACCACTGTGGAGGCACCATGGTGGTAACATCCATGGGTAGCAGCACCACTGCTAATGTTCTTGCCCCACTCTGATTTTTGGTTTCACAAGGTCTTAGAGCATGATTTGGTTTTGACTGCCCAGAGAGGTGGTCGATGCCCCATCCCTGGCACTGTTTCAGGTGAGGCTGGATGGGGCTCTGAGCAACTGCTCTAGTTGCAGATGTCCCTGCTCCCTGCAGGGGGGTTGGACTGGGTGACCTTTAAACAACCAACCTAACACCTCATCCCCATGTCAACTTGGGCAGCTCAGGGCAAAGTGTAGAAAATGGCTCGGAATCACACTTCTTCCCCAACAGAACCTGTCCCTGCAGGTGGGACACCAGAACCTGTCACTGCAGTGGGGTGCTGTGCAGAGACAAGGTTGCCTTCAGGCAGATGTGATCATCAGGCATTTGTCCAGCTCCATCCTCACCACTGCACACGTGGGATGAAGACCCCAGCCAACCACGTTTGCCCTTTTCAAAGGCAGCATTGCTCACACTTCAGCTAAGGAGCTTTTTTATTTTAAAGCCCTTTATCATGCCAAAGGCAGAAAGAACTTCTTCTTTACCCTAAAATCTATCGAAATTTAGAGAAGTCTTTCATTGTGATGGGCCAGCAAGGGAAGTATGTGAAGAATTTTTACTGAGTGACTTAAGGTCACTACCCAAGAAAGGGTGGCTCCAGTTTAGATTTAAGATATTGTTTTGATCCGCTAGGCCTGGAAGGGAAGGTCAAGCTCCATTTTATTGATAACCTTAATCTCTATAAGGGCTCTCTTCCTTACAGTCATCCAGACTCATTACAAACAGAATTATTACTTAGTTTAAAAGTGTAATTGTTTATGCATGTGCAGCCACCCAGCAATTCATACCAAACTCCTGCAGGGAAGTAGCTGGGAGTTTTTATCCATCCTTGGGAAGCTGGAACTCCCCTCTGGCCCTGAGATGGGACAGCTCAATTGTGTTTCCCCTCACCAGGAAGGAAGCAGCTGCTGTGTGATCAGAGTTACTCTGAGATCTGTTCTTAAAGCAGGGCTGGCAACCCCAGACAAAAGTGCCCAACACTCTGTCGTATAAAGCCACAGATATTTCATGATTATTTTTGGATGAAGCATTTCTGCACCTCAGTCCTTTAAGAATTCATTTCCTTCCAGCTGAAAATGAGAAGCTTGCCATAACATTAAGTGCCATGTCCCTGCATGGTCACACAAGCTGAGCTGTCCCCCAAGGGCACCTCACTTGTCACATCTGACCCTCTCCTGGTCACTGCTGTGACTCACCCACCTGCTCATCCTTCCCTGACACTCCCAGGGAACCAGCCCCAAGTATTGCTCGCTGACAACAGTGATACTATTGCACCAAGAGCTTAGCTAAGGAGCAGTGCTGGTTGCCCAAGTGCATTCCTCACAATTAAAATTTCCAAACAGAGAACAACAGTTGAGATGCCACCCTGACCTCACCCAGCTCCTCAACCCCGGTGCACTGCTGCTTCTCTGCTGGTAAATGCTTCCCCTGGAGACTCAACTAGCAGTAGCCCAAGGGCTTCCTCACAGCTCCCTTTGAAGGCACAGCCCCAAGTGTAGCACCATGACTGCCAGAGCATCCTCACCAGGACCGTGTGCATCCCCGTGTAGAGCCTGCTGAGACACACCAGCATGGAGAACACGAACGCTGCTGCCAGGCCGAGTTCAAATGGGTACTGTGGAAAGGACAAAAAGAGAAACCCAAACCATAAATACATCATTATCCACTTTAGTGCCAGCACAGAGCTGAAATAAAACATGCGAGTGGCCAGGCTGGTGTAAGGATCTCACACTGGGAAGTGGCTCCTCACCCAGTGAGGTGGTAGAAGCCCCATCCCTGGGGACATTCAAAGCCAGGTTGGATGGAGCTCTAAGCAACCTGCTCTAGTTGCAGATGTCCCTGCTCCCTGCAGGAGGGTTGGACCAGGTGACCTTGAAAAGTCCCTTCCCACCCAAACCAACCTGTGAGTCTATGATTCGGTAACTTCTCAAAGAGACTAACGTGACCCAAGGTGAGGACTGACATTGGCTAACCTGCAGTCTTGCCAGAAAGTCATTTTGTTATCAGTAGAGCCCAATTTTACAAGGATCTAGTGTAAACATGGGGAATCCTGGGAAATAGGTGGCATTCATCGAGTTGGTCCTTGCAATATCTACCTGCAAAAGCCACGCTGGTGCTAAGGACCTTTAACAGACGAGGTGCAGCATGTTGGGCATGCAGTCCCTGAGTCTGAACTGCAGCCTCAGAGTGGCCGAGAGGTGTGGTGACCACTGAGCCTGGCCAGCAGTGCTATCATGTCCTCCAGCAGCAGCCTGGGAGGGGGAAAACCAATATCTGGGCTGAAACCACAATCAAGCTACTAGAGCTGTCAGGACCCCTCTTCCCTGTGACACTTCAGGTTTAATTGTCTTCTTACGAAGCTGGTTTTGCTTAATTCCCTCTCTGGGTTGCCTATCCACATGGAAAAAAGTGTTGAAATAAATTGACATTTAAAAAGGGGGAAAAAGCCCAAACACTAAACTAAACCCACATTTGGTAAAAGAATAAGCTTAACATATTAGCCCTTAATCCACTCCTGAAAATTCTGAAGCTGAGTGGGTTGGTGGGCTCCCTTCAGTCTGCAAAGGACATTTTTCTGAAAAAAAGAAATAAATAAACCACCCCAAAATGTAAATAAATGAAATTAGTTCACCCGATTTGACACAAAGTCTCCGTCTACTGCCGAGAGGCTGGTGACTGACGGGGTGGCCACAGGTCAGTGTAAAAATGCTTCTGTGGAAATTTTAGGCATAACAACTTGCTTCTGAGCCTTTCCCCAGGGCATACTACGGCCCCTGGAACAGAGAGCTCAGACCTGGCTGCAGATGTCACTCCCAGTTCATAAAACACTATTTTTTCCTCACTCCTCTAAGCCTCTGGAGGCTTTACACCCACTTTACTCCCCCCAGCACAGGCAGCCTGGGAGCTAGTCCAGATCAGTAATTGATGACTAGGGCAGCTTGAGATGACAGCAGCATAATGTACTCGTAGATATTTTCCTCCTTAATAGAAGCAATTAAATCATTTAATTATTTTACAGCAGCTTTATTGTTTCATGGCAGCTCCCAAGAAGTAGAAGCCAGCCCATGAGCAGCTGTGTGACCCACTGGTAGCTTATTGATTGAAGAGGAGGAGGAGAAAGTGCTGCTGACCAGGTCTTTTTGGCAGCTCTGACACATGGCACAGTTTTGGCCTTCCAGGGCTGATAAAGAGCCCATCTTATGGCTCCTCCTCCCCATCCTGAAGTCCCCTGAGCTGGAAGAAAGAGATGGAGAACAGAATGATCCCCTCATAATCCAGGAAATAGCAGAGGAGGACCTGCTGAGCCAGCTGGACACCCACAAGTCTATGGGGCTGGATGGGATCCACCCGAGAGACGTGAGCTGAGGGAGCTGGCAAAAGAACTTGCCAAGCCTCTCTCCATCATTGACCAGCCGTCCTGGCTAAAGGGGGAGGTCCTGGGTGACTGGAGACCTGCCAATGTGACACCCATCTACAAGGGCAGGATCCAGGGAACTCCAGGCCTGTCAGCCTGACCTTGGTACCAGGGAAGATTTTGGAACAGTTCATCTTGGGGGTGATCACACAGCAAGTGTGGGACAATGGGGGAATCAGGTCCAGATAACATGGGTTTGTGAAGGGCAAGTCCTGTTTGACCAACGGTGACTGGAGACCTGCCAATGTGACACCCATCTACAAGGGCAGGATCCAGGGAACTCCAGGCCTGTCAGCCTGACCTTGGTACCAGGGAAGATTTTGGAACAGTTCATCTTGGGGGTGATCACACAGCAAGTGTGGGACAATGGGGGAATCAGGTCCAGATAACATGGGTTTGTGAAGGGCAAGTCCTGTTTGACCAACCTGATCTCCTTCTATGAGCAGGTGGTGTCCTTCAGGGCTCAGTTTTGGGATCGGTCTTCTTTAAGATCTTTTTCAATGACCTGGATGAGGGGATCAAGTGCACCCTCAGCAAATTTGCAGATGACACGACATTATGTGGGAGTGTGGGTCTGCTTGAGGGTAGGAAG